CACTGGGTGCCAGGAGGGAACGACCCAGTGAAGCCCGGGGGGCGGCGCAGCCAGATCTCATCGTGCAGGCTGCCCTGCAAGAAAGCTGTGCTGAAGTCAAGAGAGTGAAGCTCGTAGTCACGGTGAGCAGCAACATGCAGCAGCACCCGAAGAGTGGTCATCTTCGGGGTGGGGGAGAAGGTCTGGAAGAAGTCAACTCCCTCTCGCTGACTGAAGCCTCGAGCCACGTAACGCGCCTTGAAGACAGGCGGAGAACCCGGCGGCCGCTTCACCCTGAAAATCCACATGCCACTGACGATGTTCGCCCCAGGTGGGGGAACCTCGTCAACGTAGGTGCCTGTGGACTTCCAGGAAGCCATCTCTGCGTCCATGGCTGCCTGCCACTGAGAGGAGTAGGGACCCTCTATCGCCTCTGCGTAAGAGCGCGGAGTCGGGATGTCTGGTGCATCCGGGTCTCCCTCAGAGGCAAGCAGCGAGGACACAAGATGAGGTAAAGCAGCAGCAAGACACTGGAACTCCTCCTGCCTGTCCTCAAGGACGTCCGTGCTAAGAGCACACTCACCCCCGACGGACGGAGGACAGACAGACTCAGACTCAGCAACAAGACTGGCGGCGTAGTCTAGACGACAGGCAGCAGCAAAGTCAACAAGCTCAGCGACCAAGGCAGACGCAGCAGTAGACTCAAACGACGGGTCAGTGACAACAGTGGCTAGGAGACGCGTGACAGTAGGGTGCTCAGTACGAAACCGGTCAGACTCAGGGTCCGGAACGGCAGGCAGAGAGGACGCAGGGGGAGACGGCAGAGGAACAGGCTGCGGAGCAGAGGAAGGACGACGGACAACAAGGTGTGCGCTGGGGACAGCCGGCTGACGCGCACGAGCGACACGACGAACGGTACGACCAGAACGAATAGGCGAGACAGGACGCGACGCAGGCTCACGACGCGTAGCAGGACTGCCTGTCTGCTCAGTGTAAGGAGAGGGAGCAGGTAGCGGTGAGCCAGTCTGTAACGGAAGACCAGTAGACGACGGGAGAGTAACAACCTGACGAAGAGCAGAGTCAGGCGGCGGCAGAGACGACGGAGACGGCGGAGCGAAGAACAGTCGTGTCGGCGCAGCTGCACCAGTACCGGCAGCTCCAGCAGCTCCAGTGCCTCCAGCAGCTCCAGTACCTCCAGCAGCTCCCGTACCTCCAGCAGCTCCAGAAGCTCCAGTCCCAGAGCCGACACCCCCAGTCCCAGGGTCTCCAACCTCTGTGTCTCCAGCAGCAGCACCCCCAGACCCAGCACCTCCAGTCCCAGGGTCTCCAGCCTCAGTGTCTCCAGCAGCAGCACCCCCAGAACCAGCACCTCCAGTCCCAGGGTCTCCAGCCTCAGTGTCTCCAGCACGAGCACCTCCAGAACCAGCGACTCCAGCACCTCCAGTAGACAAAGGACCAGCACCACTCCTAGCTCCAGCAGCGCGACGCTGACGGCGACCGTACCAGTCCTGCAGCTGCTGTGGGGTGAGAGGCACACGTGGACGAAGGCGGCTACTCCAAGGAGACCGCGCAACAGCAGACTCAGAACCCTCAGCGCCCGCACCCCCAACGGCTCCAGAACCTCCGGTGTCAGTACCCTCAGCACCAGTACCTCCAGCGGCTCCAGAACCTCCAGCACGAGCACCCTCAGCAGCTCCAGAACCTCCAGCTCCAGCGCCACCAGTACTAGGCCCTCCAGCAGCTCCTGAACCTCCAGCGCCAGCACCCTCAGTAGCTCCAGAACCTCCAGCGTCAGTACCGCCAAGCTCAGCACCCCCAGACCCCTCACACTCAGGCTCAGCACCACCAGGCTCCACACCCTCAAGCTCCGCACCCTCAGGCTCAGCACCCCTAGGCTCAGCACCCCCAGGCTCCGCACCCCAAGGCTCAGCACCCCTAGAAGTAGCACCCCGAGAAGGACCACCCTCAGTAGGACCTGAGTCACCAGTGACCTCAACCGGCGCAGTCAAGGGAGGAGGGTCTACCTGAGAAACACCTGAAGGAGCAGGACCAGGAGTGGGGAGGGGGTCTACCTGGGGAGCACCTGGAGCGAGGAAGAGCGGCGGGGGGGGGGAGCGGGGCAGTGCGGTAGGGGAAGAGACGGTAAAAGGGAACCGACTCGTCGAACGTGACGTCCTGAGACGCAAAGACACGGCGCGAGGTGGGATGGTAAAACTGCCAACCAGGCGCGTCAGGGACAAAGCCAAGGAAGACACAGGGAACAGCGCGGGCGGAGAGCTTGTCCGCGGTGGTATCGCGGACAAAGGCACGAGCACCCCAGACCCAGAAACGCGACGCATCGCCAACCTTCCCCGTTAACAGCAGTGTGGGCGAGGTCTCCGGCAAGGAGACACGGGGCCAGAGGTTGAGCTGATGCGCGGCGTACCGGACCGCAAACGGCCACAGGAAATGGGGGGCAGCTGCATGGATCATGGAGGTACGAGCGACCTCCATGACTAAGCCAATGCGACGCTCAGCAACCCCATTCTGCTGTGGAGAGGCCGGAAGCGTGAACGACTGGGTGATGCCGTGCTCCGCACAGTAGGCTGCCAAGAGGTCAGAGGAGAACTCACCACCTCTGTCAGAGTGCAGACGCAGGACAGGAAAGTCCCGCCGGAACCGCTCGCGGAGCTGGAGACGAACAGCGCGGATCCAAGGGATCAAAACATCAGGGACGTCCCCCTTGCTCTGCAAGGGGAAGACCGTGGTGTAACGCGTGTAGTCGTCGACAACCAGCAGGAAGTACCGCTCGCGGCCCTGTCCCTGGACGCGGGCTGGGCCCCACACGTCCAGGTGGAGCGTCTGCAGTGGAGCCTCTGTGGGAGGAAACGAGGAGGAGTGAGGAGCGGCGCGCTGCCGCCCCTCGACGCAAGGAATGCAGGGCGGCGCAGGCGAGGGAGGGAGGGCAGGCAGAGACCTGGGAAGACCAGAGACCAGGGAGCGAGAGTGCATGCTACGCAGGCGAGGCAAGGAGGGGTGACCAAGACGGTGGTGCCACAGGAGAGTGTCGTGCGACAAAGCGCGACACTCGCAGGGGGCCGCCAGCTGACCAGACGTAGACGCAGACGCAGCTACCTGAGGGGACTCAGTGGTCAGTGTGTACAGACTCGAGCCAGGTGCACGGGTGAACGTGGCCAAGTGCCGGCCCGTCCTAGCACACGTACAGTGAGTCACTCGCTGACTCGCAGGAGTGAACTGGTCAACCTCCCGATCCTGGAGGTCAGCTCCACTCACCAAGTTCGTAGAGAACGAGGGGAGGTAAAGACCTGACAGCGAGCCGGACGGGACGGCCGGACACGGCAGAACCGTGGAGTAGTGGGCAAGGACTGGACCCCCAGAGGGGTCCGCCAGGGAGACTGGAACTGGCCGACTAAGCGGCGTGAGTGTGGTGCAGTCGCGAAAGAAGGAGCGAGAAGCTCCTGAGTCAAGGGTGAAGGTGTGCGAGACCGTAGTTGGCGCAGTACCAGAGAGAGCAGACTCACCAGCACCTGAAGCCACGGCCTCACCAGTACCTAGAGCAGTAGACGTACTAGCACCGAGAGCAGCAGCCTCACCAGCACCTAGAGCAGGAGACGCACTAGCACCTAGAGCAGCAGCCTCACCAGGGTCAGGCGGTACGCACAGATAACAGGCACGATCAGCACTAGTAGGCAATGCATACATGGCAGTGAGAATAGCATCATAGTCAAGCGCAAAGATATCTACCCTCTGTCCATGCAGCTCCAGCCAGGTGGGGAGCTCAGCCTCGTCGCCAAACACTGTGCGCCAGTCGTCGCTCAGACGGGCGAAGCAGCGGGACTGTGTGTGACCAAGCGTCCCACAAGGCTGACCAGTCCTAGCACCTGTGCGAATGACGTACGGGCAGCGAACTGTACGCGTAGACCTGCTACACTGAGCGTACCACTCCTGGAGCTGCCGAGGCGTAAGTGTCTCACGTGGACGCCCCTGCAGCTGCAGCTGGCCACTGCCAGACGCTCCCAACTGACCAGCTCCAGGGCGACAGCTACGACGGCTACTGCGACAACCCCAGCTAGTATACCACTCACTAAGCTGCTGGGGCGTCAGAGGCTCGCGTGAACGTCGCTGGAGCTGCATCTGGCCACCTGCCAGTAGCAGTAGCAGCAGCAGTAGCGCGGGCAAGGCAGGCGCGGCAGGCAGGCAGGCAAGCAGGCAGGCAGGCAGGCCGGCAGGCCGGCAGGCAGGCAGGCAGCCAGGCAGGCAGGCAGGCAGGCAGACAGGCAGGCAGGCAGGCAGGCAAGCAGACAGACAGGCAGGCCGGCAGGCAGGCAGGCAGGCCGGCAGGCAGGCAGGCAGTCGCGCAGGCAGGCAGGCAGGCAGGCAGGCAGGCCGGCAGGCAGGCAGGCAGCCAGGCCGGCAGGCAGGCAGGCAGACAGGCAGGCAGGCAGGCGCTCACCAAAGGCTGGGAGAGCAGGCGCTCACCGGGCGAGCAGGGCCGGCGCTCGACAGCCGGCGGCCGAGTAGGCGCACGACAGCGGCGGCGTCGGGGCCGCAAAACCGGCTGCAGAGCAGGGCCGAAGCAGCTGCAGGGCGGGGCCGCTTCAGCGGCAGTAGCAGGGTGGGGCCGCGTCAGCGGCAGGTCGGGGCCGTGGCAGCTGCAGGGCGGGGCCGCATCAGCGGCAGGTCGGGGCCGTGGTAGCTGCAGGGCGGGTCCGCATCAGCGGCAGGTCGTGGCCGAGGCAGAGGGCCGCGCGCGGCTCGGCGCGGGCTGCGCTGACAGCGCGCTGAGCTGCTGCAGGCCGCGCGCGGCCGCGCTAGGCAGTAGCGGGCCGCGCGCGGCTCGGCGCGGGCTGTTGCGGGCCGCGCGCGGGCCGCGCGAGGCAGTAGCAGGCCGCGCGCGGCTCGGCGCGGGCTGCTGCGGGCCGCGCGCGGGCCTCGCGAGGCCGTAGCAGGCCGCGCGCGGCTCGACGCGGGCTGCGTGGGCTCGGCGCGGGCTGCGCGCGGCAGCAGGAGCAGCATCGGGAATGTCTAAGCCCAAAAAGTCCTCCCGTTGGGTCTCCGCATCTTTCTTCTCTGCACCAGATGACACCTCCCCCGCCGCAGGTGCCACCTCCCCCTGGGCGTGGCTGCAGGGCGCCCTGCCCCGCGCGCTCGCCTCCCTCAGAAGGCACCTCCCCAAGGCCGTGGTGGCGTTTGTCGTTTTGCTGCTGGGGTGCGTGGCGCTGAACGCGCGCATGGAGAAGCGGGCGGCGCAGCAGAGGGGACAGGGACAGCACGTGCCTCCCGTGACGATGGCGGTGATGGAGGTGAAGCACAAGGCGGTGCGGCCGCTAGTGGCGGAGGTGCAGCGCGTGGGCATGCGGGTGAGGGAGATGGTGGAGAAAATGCCGAAGCACGAGCCGAATGAGGAGGAGGCGTCGCTGTATGACGTGCTCTGGCTGCTGCTCGCCAGTGTGGTGTTTGTTCCGGCCTTCCAGAAGCTTCCCGGAGGTGAGTGGGGAGTGGTGATTAGCGGCGTTGAGTGGTGAGTGGGACTTGGTGACTTGCCACGGGTTGAGGGAAATCGTCAATGACTGCTCCTGTGCCATGCACTCATCATTTTTTTTTCTCTCTCCGTTCTCTCCCTCCTTCCTCTTCTCCCCACAATGCAGGCAGCCCAGTGCTGGGCTATCTAGCAGCGGGCGCCCTCACCGGCCCATACGCGCTGTCAGTCATCAAGCATGTGCACGGCACCAAGGCACTCTTACCACTCTCTCCACTCTCTCCCTCCCCTTTTCTCCCCACACCACAGGCAGCCCCGTGCTGGGCTACCTGGCAGCTGGTGCCCTGATCGGCCCGTACGCACTGTCAATCATCAAGCACGTGCACGGCACCAAGGCGCTAGCAGAGTTTGGCGTCGTCTTTCTCATGTTCAACATCGGCCTCGAGGTCAGTCAGTGCCACTCTTTCCTTTGCTTGCCTCCTTACCTGCGTCGTTACATCTCTCCTTCTGGCGTCCATCAAGCCTCTGCCCGAATTTGGCGTCATCTTCCCCATGTTCAACATCGGCCTTTAAGTGAGAGCCTCTCTCTTTTCTCTCTCTCCTCTCTCGTCTCTCCTTGCTCCTCTCTCTCCTCCGTCTCTTCTCTCCTCTCTATTCCCCTTGCAAGTAGCTCCCTCACGTCCCTTTACCCATCTCAACCCTCTTGCCCCACCCCTTCCACCCCTTCCCACCGCACACCACCACTGCAGCTATCCCTAGAGCGACTCAACTCCATGCGCAAATACGTCTTCGGCCTTGGCTCCGCACAGGTACCTTTCCCTCGCCACAGCCCTACATCCCTAATGCCCTACATGGCTCTCCAGTATCAAGCCTTGCTTTAGCGCGTCACTTGCTGCCATGAGCTTTCCTTGTTCGCTTTCCCCAGAGCTGCTGGGATGGTAGTCAGAGATTGCTTTTTCAAGCCGTATCCGTCCCTTCCCGTCACGTGCTGGTGATTCCACTGGCTGCAATCGCATGTCGCAAGACTCGAACCATGTCCCCCCGCCCCCTCATGCTTCCCTACCCGTGGGTCGTCTGGGTTTCTGCACATGACTGCACTGGTGGTTGCCGCACTGCAGCCAACACGCTGCTAGTCGTGCTCGGCACCTCCGTGCTCACCGCACAGGTGGGTGCTCTTGCACTGCCTCACAGCTCACTGCACAGGTAGGTCGTCTGGGTTTCTGCACATGACTGCACTGGTGGTTGCCGCACTGCAGCCAACACGCTGCTAGTCGTGCTCGGCACCTCCGTGCTCACCGAACAGGTGGGTGCTCTTGCACTGCCTCACAGCTCACCGCACAGGTGGGTGCTGCGGGCTGCGCAAGGCTGCAGCGGGCTGCGCGCGGCTCGGTGCGGGCTGCGCGCGGCTGCAGCGGGCTGTGCGCGGCTCGGCGCGGGCTGCGTGGGCTCTGTGCGGGCTGCGCGCGGCTGCAGCGGGCTGCGCGCGGCTCGGCGCGGGCTGCGCGGGCTCTGTGCGGGCTGCGCGCGGCTGCAGCGGGCTGCGCGGGCCTTACGGGCCTCTAGGGGCGGCGCGTGGGCCTTACGGGCCTCTAGGGGCAGCGCGCTGGCCTAGGGCAGCAGGAGGCAGCGCTAGGGCTGCTGGACGGCGCACATAGTGCAGCACGTCACAAGGCAAGGCAAGGCACGCAGATACGTGGGGTAGCGCGGTAACCGCAGCGGTAGGTGGGCCCGAAAAAAACGGTCCTACGGACCTTAGTGCTCTGATACCATGTTAGAATCTAGCAGCAGGAATGGATGAACTAGCAGCATGCAGGAGTACAAGTAGTAAACCCTAATTGGGCTGTACCCCATATGGGCTACCCCACTACAGCCTAGAAAATATGCAGCATATATGTTTGACAGGCAGAACCCGGCGCGAGGTGACGTGGTAAAACTGCCAACCAGGCGCGTCCAGGACAAAGCCAAGGAAGACACAAGGAACAGCGCGACGGGAGAGCTTGTCCGCGGACGTGTCGCGAACAAAAGCTCGGGATCCCCAAACCCGAAAACGCGACGCATCGCCAACCTCTCCCGTCCAACGCAGTGTCGGGGAAGTCTCCGGCAAGGAGACACGGGGCCAGAGGTTGAGCTGATGCGCAGCGTATCGGACCGCAAACGGCCACAGAAAGTGGGGAGCAGCCGCATGGATCAGGGAGGTACGAGCGACCTCCATGACCAAGCCAATGCGGCGCTCAGCAACCCCATTCTGCTGTGGAGAGGCCGGAAGCGTGAACGACTGCTCAATGCCGTGCTCGGCACAGTAGGCTGCCAGGAGGTCGGAGGAGAACTCACCACCTCTGTCAGAGTGCAAGCGCAGGACAGGAAAGTCCGAGCGGAAACGCTTGCCTAGCTGGAGACGGGCTCGGCTGATCCAAGGGATCAAAACATCAGGGACCTCACCCTTGGTGCGCAAGGGGAAGACCGTGGTGTAGCGAGAGTAGTCGTCAACAACAATCAGGAAGTACCTTTCCTGACCCTGTCCACGGACGCGGGCTGGGCCCCACACGTCCAGGTGGAGCGTCTGCAAGGGAGCAGTCGTCGGGGGAAAGGAGGAGGAGTGAGGAGCGGCGCGCTGCCGCCCCTCGACACAGGGAAGACAGGGAGGAGCAGGCGAGGGTGGGAGGGGAGGGAGAACCCTGGGAAGACCAGAGACAAGGTGCCGTTTGTGCATGGCACGAAGGCGCTGCACAGACGGGTGACCAAGTCGGTGGTGCCAGAGGACTGTCTCGTGCGCCAGAGAGCGACACGAGCAGGGAGCCGACAGCTGACCTGACGCAGACGCGGACGCGGACGCAGCTACCTGAGGGGACTCAGTGGTCAGTGTGTACAGGTCCGACCCCGGCTGCCGAGTGAAGGTAGCCAGGTGACGGCCCGTCCGAGCACACGTGCAGTGTGTCACGCGCTCGTAGGCAGGGGTGAACTGGTGAACACCCGCGTCTTGGAGCGCACAACCCGCCACCAAGTTCGTAGAGAACGAGGGGAGGTGGAGACCGGACAGTGTGCCCGACGGGACCGCAGGACAGGGAAGAACAGTGGAGGAGGTCGCAATGACCGGACCCCCAGAGGGGTCAGCGAGGGAGACAACAACTGGCCGAGCAAGCGGCTCAAGGGCAGTGCGGTCACGAAAGAAATAGCGAGAAGCACCTGAGTCCAGGGTGAAGGTGTGCAGTGCCTCAGTCGACTCAGTACCAGGGGGGACAGACTCACTAGCACCTAGAGCGGCAGCCTCACCATCACCTGAGGTGGCAGACACGCGAGTACCTGCAGTGGCAGTCTCACTAGCACCTAGAGCGGCAGCCTCACTGGTCAGAATGCCCGGGTCGGGCGGAACACGCAAGTACTGAGCACCCTCTCCACTAGTAAACATTGCATACATGGCAGTGAGAATAGCATCAAAGTCTAGAGCCCAGATATCAACTCCCTTCCTCTCCAGATCACCCCAGCGGGGAAGCTCAGCGCCAGCAGGGAACTGGGCGCGCCAAGCGTCGTCAAGGCGCGAGAAACAGCGCTGCGTGGGGTGCGGCCTCCCACACGTCTGACCAGTGCGGTCACCAGTGCGGATGACATACGTGCAGCTAAGGCCACCCGCCCCCCGGCGCTGCGAATACCACTCACGGGCCTCCTGGAGCGACGGAGTGTGCTGCTGGCTCAGACCACCGCCAGCGCCGCCGCGATCACCACCGCCGCCACCTCCTCGACCACCTCCTCCCCTGCCGCTGCCACGACCACCTCCGCCTCCGCTGCCGCCCCCGCCCCTGCCACCGCCCCCGCCGCTGCCGTCACCACCCCCACTGCCGCCACTAGCCTCTCCAGCCCCTCCTCCACTCCCACCGCCTCCACCCCCGCCTCCCCCGCCGCCACCTCCACCCTTGCCCCCTCTGTTCCTGCGGCGCCCGCTCGGAGCAGACGCCGTCCCGACCTTCTCAGCACCAAGGAGGTCGACAGCAGAAGCAGAGGCTACAGAGGGGAGAAGGGGGGAAGGGGAACACCCCTCAAAGAAAGGGGTGCGGGGGTCGCCACGAGAGGCACCTACAGCGACGATGCTCGCCTCAGCTGCAAGTAGTTCCTTCTCGAGGAGGGCAATGGTGAGCTCAGTGGGGCAGCGAGCTAGAAAGTGATCCCTGACTGCGCGCAGAGAGTCAGGGAGGCGGGTGACGATGTGGTAGAGAGTGAGCCAGAGCGGGGGGGGGTTGCTAGCAAGGAACTCGTCAGGCATAGCAGCGCGGAAGCGGGCCTCACTAGTCTTGAGGTGGGTGATGAGGTCAGCAACTGTGTGAAAGGAGGCCAGGTCGGGGAACAGGTAGGGGAGTGAGAGGCGGCCTAGTGCGGCAGAAGCAGGTGAGGAGTAACGAGCAACTACAGCAGTGTACAGTTCCTTAGCAGTCTTGTGCTGGCCAAAATGCTCGCGCTCATCTATCGGCAGGGAGTTGCGAATAGCAAAGCGAGCGTGGGCGTCACGAGTCTGCCACTGTGAGCGCTGAGTGCTGTCAGCAGTGGTAGGAGGGGCAGTAGCGTGACCGAGGGCATGATCGTACAGTGAAATATCCTCCTTGGCAGTGAGCTGTAGGAAGAGGTGCAGGTCATCTAGCCAGGTGTCGAACTTCACTGGGCGGCCCTCAGCATCGAAGGCGAGTACAGGAGGACTAGCCATAGTGGCAGCAGCAGTAGCAGTAGCAGCAGTAGCGGTAGCAGTAGTAGCAGTAGTAGCAGCAGCAGCAGCAGCAGCAGTAATAGTAGTAGTAGCGACGGGGCTGCTAGGAGGCGGTGCGCAGGGTCGACTGGGCCGGCGGGGCCTCTATGCGGTGCACGCGCGGGGACAGCGGGGCCGGCGGGGCCTCTAGGCGGGGCGCGCGCGGGGTCGACGGGGCCAGCGGGGCCTCTAAGGGGCGCAAGCGGGATCGACGGGGCCGGCGGGGCCGCTAAGCAGGGCGCGAGCGGGATCGACGGGGTCGGCGGGGCCTGCGGGGCGTCTAGGCGAGGCGCAAGCGGGGTCGACGGGCCGGCGGGGCCGCTAGGCGGGGCGCGAGCGGGATCGACAGGGCTGGCGGGGCCGCTAAGAAGGGCGCGAGCGGGATCGACGGGGCCGGCGGGGCCTGCGGGGCGTCTAGGCGAGGCGCGGGTGGAGTCGACGGGCCGGCGGGGCCTCTAAGCGGGGCGCGCACGGGATCGACGGGGCCAGTGGGGCCTCTAAGCGGGGCGCACGCGCGGTCGACGGGGCCAGCGGGGTCGAGTAAAAAAAAGGGAGAAGCGCGCAAGGGCGCTAGGGGGAGGCGCTAAGGCGCGCTCCGACAGTAGGGCGCACGAGGGCGCTAGTAGAGAGTAAGTAGCGGTGGGCCCGAAAAAATTAGGTCCTAGCGAAGGACCTGCTCTGAAACCATGTCAGAAGAACTGAGCAGGAATGGATGAACTAACAGAAAGTTGGGTACAAGTATGAACACGACATCCTGCCGGCTGTTTGTACGAGTATGCGTGTGCGAATACATTTGCGTGTGAATGGTGTGTTTGTGTGTTTGTTTGCTTTCGCAATTTTCGCTTGAAGCATTTGCAGGTACTCGCGCAATGTGCGTTTCGGCACAACATTGTACGCGCTATGAACAGTGCAAGCAGAAAGGACGAGCTCGCAAAGGAACCCAAGATGGAAGCTTTGCGGTTCAGACTAAATTGATTGCGCAGATTTAGTTCTATCCAACTCGAAATTGTACTGTTTTGTTTGGTTGACTATAGTGTAGCAGGGCAGGCACTATAAGGGTACAATTTAGGTGAAGGTTGGATGTTGCTTGTCTGTATCTGCATGCTACAAGGCCAGGGGAAACCAGCGGAACCAGCATTTGGTTGGCTGGGCACGACAAAAGCAGGTTCTGTTTTTAGAACCTGAACCTGGTTGTTGTTTTCACAGGTTGGAAAAACAGAACCAGAGGTTGTTTACCAACCTACCACATGCTTTTTTGTCCAGCCAGGTTGGTTCTGCTGCTTGGAATTATTTGGGATCATCCTTGGTTGTTCCCAGGTTGATTCCCAAGGTCCTTGTTAGCTAGAACTATTTACACTGAACAAAATAATTGTCCACATGCTCATCTTTTAAAAGAAAAATGTGCCTAGTAGCTAGCGGGGATTAAGCCTTAATAAAAGGCCGCCATAAAGTTATAGCACAGAGGGTAGTACATCGTC